GGGTTTCCGGGCCCAGCGGAGCGTGGGAGCTTCCACCTCACCCAGGGAGCGCCTCGCGGCAGCGGGAGCGGAGAAGCGGCGCTTTTCGCTTCGCCGGTTTTTTTGGTTCAGCCATGGGGCGCGAAGGTCTCCGCCGGCCCAGAGCCTTCCCGCGTGAGGAGCTCCACGGCCTCGCGAGGTCCGCAAAAGCCACTCTACAAAGACCGAGTGGCGCGCGGCTCAGAAAGTGAAAGCCAAGCGCCTGCTGGGAGGCTTGGTCCTTGAGTTGCTCCGAGAGCAGCTCGCTCTGCGCCTGGGAGCCACTTCGAAGGTCCCTCTGCTGTCTCTCTCCGCGCGCGGGCGAGCATGCATGCAGACCGACACTGACTAAAGCCCGTGGGGGGGGGGGGCGGACCAGTCTCGCTTCCGCCTCCTCCTTGCTGGCCTGCATCAGCTCCGATCGACCGCAGAACAGCGGCAGCAGTGAAACTGCGGCAGTATAGCCGTAGCCGTATAGCGGCACTGGCAGTGGCAGCCGTAACAGTAGCAGTAGATCGTCATCCTACACCCCAACCAGCTAGTAACTTGATATTCTTGTATGTTGGCTGTGATGTGATGTGTGGATTTCGCTTGTTTGTGCATTCACAGGCTTTCCGGAATTAGTAGAGCGCCAACTCACTTAAGCAATGGCAGCAGCAATAGCCCCCTGCAAGGCATGAGCTTCAGAGACAAATTCTTCAGAGGCGGCCTTGGTCAAGGCGGTCTTGCTCTCGATCTCCTGCGTCTCTCAAAAGGGTTTTTGCGTTGGTTTTAAAGGTTCAGGGGTTTTTTGTAGCTGGCAGCTATTATATAGGGTTTTTTGGGGTTTAGGGACCAGGGGTTTAGTAGCTATTACAGGGTCTGTCTGGGGTTTAGGGGCAAGCCTACATGCAAGCCACACTACATCTACCCAAGATCCTGCTCTGGGCAGTCAAGAGCGATCGAACAGCTAGCTCTTCAGAAGGCCACCCTTCTCTGCTCTATAATGCTAACACCACTGGAGTACTCGACCAGGGACTGATGAGGAAGCATGACTACACTGTACACTGCCCTCATTCAGCATCTGAAGAAGCTTCGTAATCCTTATCTGGATGGACGGCTTGCTGGCAAAACTTCGGTCGCGAATCTTCGACTGATGAACCCCGATCCCCGGTCACATGTGCCGTGGCGCTTGGAAAGTCTATAGGGAGACTGCGAAGAGCAGGCGCCAAAAAGGGACATCTACTCCCGGCCCCCAAAGGTCAGATCCAACTTTTAGTAGCGAGCCTTCCCAAGGCGGCTCGCCCCAAGCATGCTCTAAGCTCTCTGAAACCCGGCCCCCACGGCCCGCCGCTCTCCGCTCGCCTCCAGCTGCTTGGCGACCTGCCTTTGGCCCTCCCGCCGTTGCGAGTCCTAGAGGCGCTGGCCAATCCAGCACAGCTGAAGAATCCCGCATTTCTCTTTTGGACTCCTCAGCGGGCGTCAGCTGCGCGTCTCCGTTGGACTTCGCGCCTCTCCGCCCGTGAAGTCCCATCTCCCGCTCTCTCTCTCTTCTTCCTCGCTCTCTCTCTGGCTCTGTGTGCATTTAACCACGGCCTTGTGCACGTCTTTCAACCTTTATACAAAGCCAGGGCCGAAGATTGCAGCTCTAAGGCTTGCGTACAAGCGTGAGCGAGCGGCCGGGGAAACCGCCGTTGACGTGAGTTCCAGCTGCAGCTCCAGTGCCCGCCTCCTGAGACTCTCAGCAAGGGCGAAGCGAGACGCGACGGCGACGGCCTATAAGGCCTTTTGAGGCCCTGCTCACCCGTCCTCCAGAAAGAGAGCTCCTCCGCGTAGTTCTCCTTCAGATTCCGCAGCCTCCAGGACTCCATGGGGGCCGCCCCACATCTTTTCATGACCGGCGCCCTTTTTTTGAACTCCTCTGAGACTCTCACTGATGATGGACGTCTGCCAGCTGCCTCCTCGACGTGAGTCCGCCGCGAACGCGAAAGCCCCCCCCCCCCAGAAACATGGGCGCCCGGTGCCTGAGGGCCAGGTTCTCCTCCCAGGTCTCCTGCTTCTTTGGAGAAAAGAAACTCCTGCAGAGCCACGCTCTCGTCTGGGGCCGGGGCCTCTTCCGCGCCGTGCGGCCCCGGGCGCGCCTGCGCGAGTCGATGCAGTCTCTCCTTTTTCGTATGGTCTTTCTTGCTTCTAAGACAGAGTCTTTAGAGACTCATGTCTCTGCCTGCTCCATTGCGAGGAGGTTCGAGGTTCAACCCATGATTCGAACCATGCGTTCCGCAGGGTGCGTTCTGAGGACGTGGGGCACTCGATACTCACTGCCACATGTCTCTTCTGGCCTCTCATGTACGCGATTTGCTCTAATGCAGGCGACTCAGCTCGAGACAGAAGCAGCGGCATTGCATCTCTCAAGCTAATTCTGTCAATTTCCTGTACCTGCAGCGCAGCCTGCCGATGTCGGAGCCATCCCATCCCAGGCTGCCACGATGCCCCAGTCTCAAGAATGCTTTTTTTGGAATTCTTCAAATGGCTCTTTTTGGGCCCTTTCTAAGCAAACCCAAGAAGGTGCACGCAAGCCGAGAACCTGGCTCACGGACGCTTGCAAGTGAACTCGGGTGACCCGGGTGGACCCCCGCCTGCACTTCTTGTGCAAGCAGGTTGATTACATTAGCGGGAAAGGGCGCAGCTTCTTGCTGCGGGAGAGACTTTGCTCTCCCCAGTCAGGGCTCATGCCAGGCTTCACCTGAGACGGCGAGGCGCGCGCGCGCACGCGCGCGCGCACGCGCTCGCGAAACGCGACACGCGTCTTCGCGCCCAACGCATGCCAATCAGCCGTTGAGCTGAGCCGGGCCTGGGCCGGGTCTCAGCTCCGAGCGAGCCTCCACGACCTGAGGGCCCCGATCGCTCCGAATTCTGGGAGAACACGTGTGGCGGCGGGGGGGGGGCATTGGCTCGTCGAGGGCCCGGCGCTCGCGCTCGGCTTTCGCATAGGCAGGCGCGAGCGAACCGTCGCTTCTTCTCCCTCGAGGCGAAGGGTCGCCGAGGCAGCCAAAAGGGAGGGAAGCGCCGAGTAGCCTCAGAAGGCGGAAGGCGCAGGTGTGCCTTCGCTCTGCTATTTATGGTCTCTGAGCTGATCCACGGCACTCCACTGCGAAGTGGTAGCACTTCTCGGGTCTCAGGAAATGGACGGCATAGCGCCTCACAAGACTCGGTGTCAGCGCCTCACAAGACTCAATGTCAAAAGCCGCTCCTTTACTGTTACTGTAGCTTCTCTAGCTGACTCTAGCTGACTCTAGCTGCCTTTACGCATTTCGCTAAACCCGCTGATGCTCACGATTCTACGGCCGGCAGCCAAGACGCAATACGTCCGTTGCAGGGTTTCGGCCCTCCGCGTCGCAGACCAACTCTGGGACATCCTCGCACTGTGTATGCTTCGCACATCCCCGCCCTCCCTTCACCCCGACCTCCTTATCTTGGAGAAATCCCACCGTCTGCCATTCCAAGTGTGAAGAGCTTTCTGCGCAAAGGATCCAATAGTCCTGCAGAGACAAAGCCGGGAACAAAGACACACACACACACACATTCAAACACACAAAAACAAACACACACACACACATATATATATATATACACACACACACACATACACACACATGTAGATCCGGGGCGATGCCGGTTGTCGTGTATCTTTTGAAGTTCATCATCCTCGTCTTTTTCGGTTCTTGGCTATAGACTGAGCATTTACTCGATGGGAGCCTGTGAAGCCTAAGCGAGGATCAAGTTTGTCAATTTAGATGCATTGCAAGAGTTTCAATATTCATAAGAACCTCAAGGCCATATATATGCATATATGTGTATCTGTATGTATGTGTATATGTATATAGGTATATAGGTACATAGGAATATAGGAATATAGGAATATCGGAATATAGGAATATAGGTATATAGGTATATAGGTACATAGGTAAATAGGTCTTTCTTTCTCGAGGTCATGTGTCCGTAACGAACGCACCTAACGCAATGAATTCAAGAGGTGAAACGAAAAGAAAGCGAGGGAAAACCTTGCACCGTCTGGCGGCATGCCAGCAACCAGCCGTGGAGCTCGACAGCAGAAGCGCGGGAGCACCCCAAGACAAGGTGGCAGCGACGACCAGAGGCAGCAAGGGAGATCACAATGGCCGTCCAAGTCAGACAGAAGTCCAGCCAACGAGCATGGCGTCGCAAGGCTCGGAGGGTGCAAGACGGAGCTGACCAGAACGGACAAGAGGTGATCGGAGGCGGAGGCAAAACAACAGAGCCCCGGCAAAGGAACAGCCCGATGGGGGAGGAAGCCAGAAGGGGTACAACCTCCAGCCCCCCCCCCGGGGAAATTCCAAGAACAGAAGCAGCTTCGCAGGTTGTTGCTCCGCACACTAGACCGGGCAATTCGGCCGGACGCGGCGTCCACACGAGAGGCACAACCAAGGGGTCGATCACAGCATGGCGCGAGGCGCCGGCCTCAATGGCAGTGTCGCACAACAGCTCAACCTGAAAGCACAGGAGCACATCATCGGCGGCCGCACGCAGGTCCCCATCGGGTAGCGAACTAACCCAGTGTTGCAAGGTGTCCCGAAGCGCAGAAAAGGGGGCGATGTGCTGCAAAATAATGGCGTAAATGGCTTCATCGTCACCGACTGTGAGAGCTTGCAGCTGCGCCAGCAGCGGGCCCACAATGTCTGGCCTCACAGCAGGGAGGTGCCCGGTGCCATGGCCTGATTGTGCGCGGCATTGAACATGTTCATCAGGACCACTAAGGACAGGCAACAAGCACGACAAGTCATCCTCAACAGCCTGCAGGCAAATGCGAGAAACGCCAAGGTGGTTGCGGAGGCGACGGGTACAAGAGAAAAGCGCCCCACAGGCGCGACAGCGTTTGCCCTCCGCAAGCAAGAAATGTCTTGTACGAAATCCATGCTTCAGCGCAGCGTGGGATGCCCACGACTGGGACGTAGGGAAGGCCAGGTAAATAGGTATATAAGTATATAAGTATATAGGTATATAGTTAAATAAACATACGTACAAGTGTAGTGTAGTTAATCCGACCCAGGATGGGTAGGATAAGATCACGAAAAAGGGAAAGGGAAACCGAAGGAAGCCCCAAACCTCCAAAGCAAGGCTTTCACTGACGCAAGCGGAGATTACCCGTAACTTCAGAACTCCCCCCTTCCGACACGATGTGCATGTGCCAAATTCTGTACAACAAGCATGGGCTGATCAGGCCCATTAAATAGAAATGAAGAACATTGAACTGAAGGAAGCCAGCGGCTGTCACCCATCGTTGGTTTCCACAGGTAAATCTTCAAGACTCACCCAAGCCTGAGCTCAGCTCTAGATTGATGAACGCGTCATCCTCGTAGTGCCAAGGAAGCTAAACAGAGGAGACAATCCAAACACCGATGACGAAAGGAAGCTTTGCAACCTTAAACCCCGATACAACTTATTTAAAATCGGGAAGCCTTTCAGTTGACATGCTCAAGAGCGTGAGTGCATGAACCCACTTTTGCAGTGGTAAGGCTTTTGTGAGGGGATCGCCCCTTTGCTCATCCGTGTTGCAACAATGCGAATGGATGTCGTCGTGAAGATTGACAATCTCACAAGTGGACGCCACGTTTTTATACGCGGTGAGTCTTGGCTAGGTGCCGCAACTTGGAGCTGTAGCCCTTCTTCACGATAGCAATGCAGGCTGGGTTATCTTCATAAATCTGAAGACGGATGCAAGGCAGTAGGGATTCCCACACACCCAGCAGTGCCGCATCGCCGAAAAGCCCGCCGCTCAACGACACAAGCTCAGCCTCCGTGGAGCTGCGAGACACAACTTTCTGGCGTTTGCTCGACCAAGAAAGCAGTGCAAAGCTTGCAGGACCTTCCAATGCCAAACCGAAACCATCGGTAGAATGCGAGGTATCGATGTAGCCTGCAAAATCGAATCACAGTATAAAGCAAATTGCAAGTCTGATGGAGAATCGTTGATTGACCAAATAAATCCCACCGGGCTCAAGCCTCCAACCGGCGAACAATCCAGGTGCAGCACTCGGTCCTAACTTACTTTCATTCTTATGCCGGTAAAACACAAGTTGTCCAAGAAGGAGCTTCTTCACAGGATTCACTTCACTACCCGCATCATCAATTGCGAAATCCCATCTGTTGCATGATTCATCCGCAGGCGAAGGCAACGTCAGGTTCAAAGCCATCGAACCACAACGGCAAGCAACAGGCCAAAGTTCAGGGCGAATTGAGAAACCAGCTTCAAGGAACGAGGCACGAACACCCGCTTGAAAGGTCCTGATCTCTCGCTCGAGCTGAGCGTTGTGGGGAAAACGATTCGGGAGCGATGAAGAAGAAATTCAACCCATCTCATCTGCAGCAGCGACAAACTCATCAGCTGCATCTGACACGAGAATCACAAGCTTGGAACAAACACGACGTCCAACGAACTTCCTCAAGGAGCTCACAATCGATTTCGATGCTGGGGAGCGATCAGTGCCCGGGAAGGCATCAAAGATACCCGTGTACTTGTCTTTCAGACACAACACAACGTAAGTCTTATCAGTCTTATCGAGAGCATCGGAACACATGAATGTGATCTGCGGCAAAGACTTCTCCGAACTCTGATGCTTCGAAAGGATCGGGCTCCTCATCGGTATCACGTGGTTTTCTTCGAGCACGTCGTGAAAGCATACGAGCTTGGTCACAAACATCACAGAATGGGTTCTTTGGGAAGTGAAAGAGCCTATGCTCAAGCGTCATTGCTTGATCTCTAAGTTTCACAACCCTCTCAGGAACCTTATCTTCTGAATCGCCTTTTGAATCAACCTCAACAGGAACCTCAGCAGGATTGTCAGCGTCACCAATGCCGGGTGGCGTTTCCGCAGCCAATCGCTCTGGAAGCCTCAGCAGCAAAGGCAGAAACTCCGCAAAAGTCGTTGGGGAAGTTGGGTTCACGGAGCCCATCACAAAGCTCATGATTGATCTGCGATGGGTCTTTTGCGGAGAAAAGCACAAGGACAATTTATAATCACATTGTGAAGGTGGGCATTGTGGAAGTCTCTGTGAGGACCGGTAGCGACATTTTGGAAAATGCTGAGCGTGGTGTAGTCGAACTTGGGAATCTGTAAATCACAGGATGAGATAGCTGGCACCGAAGCCCATGATCAAAGGCACAGGTCTTAACCGGTTTTCACACAAGCGCCTCAG